TCACTTCCTGAAGCCATATATGGTACAGATGGGGAACATACAGTCTATGGGCTATATAAAGCCCTCGAAATCATTTGGTCTGGCCTTGCCACGGCAACCACAGTTCCAGTCATCACTTTAGGGTGAGTTAATGAAATGTTTGATCAAATAGAGCCTAATTTTTAAGTCGATCGTTTTGTATGGTCCTTTTGTTGCTGTTGTTGTTGTTGTTAGGTGCCATCAAGTCGTATGGTCCTTAAATGATATAATAAATTTTTACATAAAAAAGGTTCCCCACCCCTGCTATACAGGGTGGCTGTGAGTGGGAACACAATGATACTTAACAAGAAATGGTGCTGACGTTTAAAAGGGACACTGGAAGATGGAACAGTAAGCGCTAGAGGACACAATCTCTCATCCTGGAATGCAGGGATGCGACAGGTGTTGAGGCAGGGTGATATTTACAAACAGGAAGCCCTTCTATGCACTCTATGTGCTCTTCAGGCCAGACCTACTGAGGACCGGTGGAGACAGTTTACATCTTGTTATGCCCAAGGCAGTGTGTGAGGGTGGGTGGGTAAGAAGACAGTTTACGGGAACGAGGTTATTGGTCTTAGTTCAGGGAAGGGAAGGAGGACACAGGTCCCGTGGTCTAAGTGCGCCCATGTTCCCAAGGAAGTTCTGATAGGCCTCCCAGACTTGACCATGCAACATTAAATCAGATGTCAACATCGGTCATGGATTTCAAGAATTGGATGCAGAGAGGACCATGCATTCGTGTTTACTTCTGCCTCCTATCTTGCAGCCCTGACCACCCCAGTCTCCAGACCAGTCAGGCACCAGCTGCCATGTGGATCCTTTTCTGTCACTGTCATGCTTCGACTCCAAAACAACAAGGGCCTGCTGACAGCAGACGTAGGGCACCTCAGACCCCCTGAGCCACACAAAGCCTCCTTTCTCAGGGTCAAAGGAAAAGATTTATGTGTCCCTGGAAGCTATTTTTTTATTTTTAGAAGTTATTGTCATCAAGAGCTGGCTGTTAAGAGCAAGATCAGAATGTTTTCTTTTCAAGGAGACAGACTGAAGACTATTTTCCTGTAGCTTTGGGAAGACCTTATATATGAAGCCATGGCCCTGCTCTGTGCAGACTCTCCTCAGTCTCTCTGTGATATTGGGGGAAGGGGGGTCTTTTAATCATGTGAAGCCTAAGTTTCTGCTTATGAGAAATGAAGCTATTATATCAGATCTAAAACATAGAATTGAAGTGAGGATGAAATAAGGCAGCGTGCATAGGGTACTCAAAACCAAGCAGGTATTCCATAATTTGTGATTATTGTCATCATCACTTTTATTATCATCAAATATATTCTAGGAGCTTACATGATCATCAAACATTCTCTTTTCCCACTACCTAAATTCAGAATTTTTCAGTTTGTTTACAAGTAAACAAACAATTATTGATATCTGAATAATACATTTCACACATAAAAATGCTAAATGTAGTGACTAATTACCTGGAGTACATGAAGAAAACTTCAGAAGATCCATAAATTCCAAAACATTATATGCAAAATTTTAAGTGGATATTTGTGCCTATGGAAGAAGAATCCATAGCCTTCATTCAATGGAACCATGATCCTAAGCAAGATTAACCAGTGCTTAAATGAAAGGCAACTTGATCAGTATCATTGTTCCAACTACTTCATAATCTCACTTACAGGTTTCTCCAGCACAACAATAGTACTAAATGGCAAATTACTACTCAGGAAGAAATCATGAATTTCCCTAGAATGAAAAGTCGGACAGCTATGAAGAAGAGGTCTTGAACGATGTCAAAATATTATTTGGTCTGTTTCCTCAGATTCCTCTGTAGGGCTTTATTTAAATAATTCACAATAGGCTGTGGCCTACCTTCAGCTGGAAATCAGTTCTATATATTTTAATTTTGAGGTACAGATACATTAAGTTTCCTTCTGCCTTCCTCATTTCATCTCCAAGTCTCTTGGGCATTTTAGTACACTCTGCAGACAGATCTTCATTTCATCCTAAATTTTCAGTACAACGTTGCAAACCACCTGTATGGTTGTTGTTGTTTGGTGCCATCAAGTCAGCTCTGACTCATAGCAACCCTATACACAACAGAATGAAACATGCCCCCAGTCCTTTTGCCATCCTCAAGTTGCTAAGCTTGAGCCCATTGCTACTGCCAGTGGGCCAATTCATTTCATTGGGGGTCTTCCTCTTATTCACTGACCCTTCACTTTACCAAGCATGATGTCCTTCTTTAGAACATCCTTTCTGATAACATGTCAGAAGTATAAGAGGTGAAGTCTGGCCATCCTGGCTTCTAGGTAACATTCTGACTGTACTTCTTCCAACACAAATTTTCTTGTTCTTCAAGCAGTCCATGGTACTTTCAGTCTTCTCTTCCAGTACCAGTAAAACATTGAAAACCTCCTGTTTAGGGGGTTGTTACTAAGTGTAACAAGTTTTCCCTCAGTTTTACCCTGGTGTCTTTAGGAATACAAAATATCCTCCTTAATAGTTGTTGTATGCCTATGCCAACGGGTCAGTTCTGACTTGTAGCCACTCTGAATAACATTTTTGAGAGCTGCTGGTGGGTTTGAACTGGCAACTTCACAGTTACCAGTCCAGAGCTTATCCTACAGTGCCACACCAGTGCTCTTCTTAATAGTAGTTATATATAAAAAACAAACAAACAACAACCCACTGTTGTCGAGTTGATTCCAACTCTTAGTGCCCCTACAGGACAAAGTAGAACCCCCTCCATTGGGTTACAGAGGAGTCCTGGTGTGGCGCTGTGGGCTAATGTGTCAGACTGCAAAGTCGGTGGTTCAAGCTCACCAGCTGCTCCTTGGAAACCCTACACAGGATCGCTATGGGTAGGAATCGTCTCAATGGCACTGCACAACAACAACAACAACAACAACAATCTTTACAGAAGCAGACTGTCATATCTTTCTTCCACAGAGCAGTTGGTGGGAATTGCCAACCTTTTGCTTTGCAGTCGAGCACTTTACCGAATGTGCCACCAAGATTCACTACAATAATGTTGTTGTTATGTGCTGTGGAGTCAGTTCTGACTCATAGTGACCCTGTACAGGGTTTCCAAGGCTGTAAATCTTTACGGGAGCAGAACACCTCATCTTTCTCCCGTGGAACAGCTGGTAGTTTCGAACTGCTGACCTTTCGGTTCACAGCCCAACTCGTAACCACTATGCTACCAGAGCTCCCTAGGACATTTAAAAAAACATTCCATAGATCAACTCAGTTCCCTAAGGAGAGTCTCATCCTGTGGTATTTTAAGTACTGGAAGCCCAAATTTCAAGCCGGGTAGCGTTAAGCCAGTGATTTAAATAGGTGAAAGGCTCAGTATCCCATTACTAATCCCAAAGCCAGGCAATGCCCCTACCATCACCACAGTGTTAGTGAGAAAGGCAACAGACACTGCAATAGGTTTAACTTCATCCTCTAACTGTGCCATCTAAAAGGTTCAGTGTCTGTCCACAGTAATGAGTGAGCAATTTTTTCCCAGTGACCGTCAAGAGCAGCCATTTGCAATATAGTTGGCTGGAAGTGAGAAAAGAAGAAAAAGGTAAAAAGGAAACAAACAAAAACCTAAGAGCTTTTCTTTCCAAAAACTTATTGTCCAAGTGAACACATAAACATGCAAAGTAAATGTAAAATGAATGTCAATGCAGCGGGTGGAAAAATATTACATAAGAGAGAGATTCAGGAATGGGAAGAATGAGAGAATGAGCCAGAGTTTCCATTGGAGAGATGTCGTGATCCAGGCTTGAGGTAGTATGGGTCATGGTTGTGAAGCCAGGGGTGGATCTCATGAATGAAAAAGTATAAAGGCAGATACATGGGAAAAATGAAGCTATGTCCAGGATGAGAATTCAAATTTGTGTAGCTATAACAGACTGTATACCTGAGGGAACTGGCCCATTGTAAGAATAAGGCAAAGGCTAGATGATGGTACCGTGTTTGTTTACTCACTTGTTCATTCATCGAACCCATTTAATGCAACAACCAGCTGCTGTTTAATTGACTCCAACTCATAGGGATGCATGTGTGTCAGAATAGAACTGTGCTCCTAGGGTTTTCTGTGGCTGATTTTTCAGAAGTAAATGACCAGGCCCTTTCTTCTAAACCCTCAAACTGACATCTTTGTTCTTTAACACGTTAAGGAGATTTTTTGCAGCAAATGTGCCTAATGCAGTACATCATTTTATTTCTTGACTGTTACTTCTGTGAGTGTTAATTGTGGATTCAAACAAAATGAAGTATTTGACAACTTCAATTTTCCCCCCATTTATTATGATTATGTTTATTGGTCCAATTGTGAAGATTTTTGGGTGTTTTTTTGTTTTGTTTTGTTTTTTTTACATTGAGGTGAAATCCATACTAAAGACTCTAGTCTTTGATCTTCATCACTATTTTAAGTCTTCTTTGCTTCCAGCAAGCAAAGTTGTGTCATCTGCATACCTATGGTTAATGGATCTTCCTACAATCCTGATGCCACGTTCTTCATATTATACAGTTTCTCAGATTATTTTCTCAATATACAGACTGAATAAATATGGTGAAAGAATATAACCCTGCCACATACCTTTCCTGATTTTACATCATTCAGGATCTCCTTGCTCTGTTCTTAGTTCATGTACCGGTTCCTCATGAGCATAAGTAAGCGTTGTGGAATGTCCACTCTTGGCAGTGTTGTCAGTAGGTTGCTATGATCTCTAAAGATCACAGAAAATCTTATGAGGCAGTCTTACTCGGTCACAGAGGATCACTACGTGTCAGAACGGACTCAGTGATACCAGGTCTTTGATGTTGCTGTGTTAAATATATATTTAAATTGTATTTGTAGTTCTTAAATGGGGATAGATGAATGAATTTTAGTTTTCCATTTTGTATCCTTTGTATTAACCCTATATGCTGATCTGTGTCATTTGCTGATAATAAAACTGGCTTTTTCAAAATTATAGCTAGGTATGAATACTAACGATGATTCTGATGAAGACCATCTTACAAATTATGATATTCAACTCAGTATTCAAGAATCCATTGAAGCCAGTAAGACAGTATTTTATCCTGAAAGGTAATGTTGAAATGGGCTGTCCTCAACAAAGCATCTTTATGCCATTCCTTTTGTTGTAAGATGAAATTAACAACATGTCCTAACTTTTCCTTAGGAAAATACTTACCCTTCTCTTCTGGCTAGGAATCTGATGGATTTACAATGTTTTATACTGTACCTAGGTTTTGGCAATCTGTTCTTTAACAAATCACCATCTCATGGGAAACAGAAATAACTTAAATGGGAAATTCCAAGTTGAATTTGTGGTTATATTTTCTAAGTTACTATGGAATCGAGAAGGACAATGGTAACTTGAACAGATTTGCAAGTATAGTTACTACAACTAAATAGATAGGGGAGATCTGTATAATCTAGAACCCATTCTACTACGGACCCAGGTAGCCCTTTATGTGTTAGATATTCCATTTTTGCGTCTTTAAAATGTGGGGGGAAATGCAAACCCACTTTATCCAAACCCAACCCACTAAATTCAGTGAAAGGGAGGAGAGTTGTGAGTTTTCACTATATGTGATGAAGTAACATGTAAGCCACTGCTTATCTAATTATTATCTAAATAATAAAAGTAAGCTCATAAAACTAAGCATAGAGTTGATGTTTTATGTTAGCAGGAGTTATATGCTCTAAATGTAAAAAATTTCTGTCGTGAATAATACATTATTATCTGACAAATACAAACTTTAGCTTACTTATACATTATACAAATATAAAAATATTCTTTTACATTGTAATATAACATATTTTATTGTAAAAACCCTATGCCAATATTCTAATATTTACAATCTTTTATTATGAAATTTACAGGATCATAAAGGATTATAAATGATCAAGATTGTTCTGTGGGAAAAGCTCTCAACTGCTGACCACAAGGTCATCGGTTCGAGCCCACCAGCCTCTCCTTGGGAGACGAATGAGATTTTCTGTTTCTGCAAAGATTCACAGTCTTAGATACCCTATGCAGGATTGCTGTGAGTTGGAACTGACGCTACAACACTTAACAACAATTATGAAAGCAGTGTTTTTGTATAGACCCAGCACTTTTTAAAACTGAACATTTGTTGTTGTTATGTGCCGTCGAGTCGATTCTGCCCCATAGTGACCCTGTATAGGGTTTCCAGGGAGCAGCTGGTGAGCTTGAACCACTGACCTTGCAGTTGAAACGGCTTTGCAGTCAGTCTGACGCATTAACCCACAGCACCACACCAGGACTCCAAAGTAAAAAAATGAATATATTACATTTAAATTTCATTTTTTGCCTTGGTTATTTTTTGTTCAGTCTTTCCCTTAATCTCCAACAGATTTTAAAACTCTAGAGTTTCCAGGAACACAAGAGGAACCCTAAAACGCTAGCCGATATTTCTGATTTTAATAGAGTAAACTCAAGCCAGTTAAGCCAGTTGCTGTCCTGCTGACTCTGACCTGTGGTGGCCCCTGTCAGGGCAGAGCTGTGCTTTATAAGGTTTCCAGTGGCTGATATTTTGCAGGTCAATTGCCAGACCTTTCTTTTGAAGAATCTCTTGGTAGACTCGAACCTCCAACCTTGTGGTTAGCAGTCGGACAAGACATCCTTTTGCACCACCCAGGGACTTCAGAGTGACAGAGAATAGTGGTGAAATATCTGTCTTCATTGAATAAACATGCACACCAGCGAAGGTCGTGAGGATTGAACCTGTAGCCTCCCGGGACAGTGACTGGGAGTTTGGAATTAGCTCAATTAATGCAAACCGGGTTTTACGTAAAACTCAACTGTTAAACAGCTCTAGCTGCAGTATATAGACCATACGCTTCCAAGCAGTGATTAAGTTCAAAGCAAAAAAATGTTTATTAAACATAGGTTGTTTTTGTTTTTAAGTTGGAAGAAATCTTAGAGATCTTCCTATTTACTCCCATCATCTTATTGATGAGGAAACCAAAATCCAGGAGAGCTAACTGGCCATCTCAGGATCACAAAATCCAAACTGAACTGTGGTTCAAACTCAAGTCCTTTGATTTCAAGGCCAATTGTTTACTCCTTTTTCATTGCTTGGAACTAATCCTTGACATCAAGTTGTTATCTAATATTTTCTGTCTACTAACATCAAGTTGTTATCTTATATTTTCTATCTTCACTAATGTTTCTAGCTTCCATGCATCACAAATACATTTTGGATCTGACTCCTAGACATTTGCATTTTTAAGTAGACAAAGTGTGGGCAGTTTCTGTAGATCTTGATTATAACTATGTACAAAAACTCAATGTAAATGAAAATTTTTTAGTTCTTTCACATATAAATAGCATAAACCTTGCTTATTTTTCTTTCTCGGGTAGATTTGTACCTCTAAGTGACCAAAACAGAAAACTTGTGAAGGCCATAAAACAAGGTAAATGGGTGCACTGTCTACAGTGGATAGATTGGAGAGTCTGCCTTGCCAAGACAAAGATTTATTACCTGCCCATGTGTCTAACTTAGGTCAGATTCTTGAGCTCCAAGACTATGTGAAATATAAAGATGCATTGGATGAAGCTGATGAACAAGGATGGTTTCCATTGCATGAAGCTGTTGTCCAACCTCTTCAACAAATACTTGAAATTGTTCTGGATGGTAAGGAAACATAAAACCTCTTTGACCAAACTGGAGTAAGTATGCAGAGTTATGAATGTTCCCAATGAACATAGCAAGTGGGCGAAAAAAGAAAGAAACCAGAAAATATTATTTGGCAGTATTCATGTTTTAAATTCAGAGAATAAAATTAGCATATTTTGTCAGGTTCCGGGTTTATCTTTTGCTCCTTTCTAAGACTGTGGCATAGAGTCCTGGTGTGGCACTCTAGGATAAGCACGGGACCACAAGATCAGTGGTTCAAACCCACCAACTGTTCTGCAGAAACCCTATAAAGGGTTGCTATGAGTTAGAACCAACTCAACAGTACTTAACAACAACAATAAGACTGGCATGTGTTGGTGGGAAGATGTGGATGTTGCTGAAAAGCAATAAAAGTTTATATATATAATACATTCATTTACTTGAATGTAAAGCTCTGTTCTTTTGGAAACCAGTTTTACATTCTTATCCTGAACTATGTTCTAAGTTAATAGATTTTCAAAGACTGCTATATAGTGCAAGAAGTAATTTAATGTTTGACTGTGTATTACATTATTTTTACATAAAGCATCATTAACAAATATGATAAATCAACCCAGTGTTAAGTATAAATAATTTTGATGTTCTATTTATAAAATGTTACACTGTATTTTAACCTTCAATGTTGCTCCCTACTTCTATGTTTTTGTTGTTATTGTTAAGTGCCACCAAGTTGCTTCCAATTCATAGAGACCCTGTATAGGATTTCCAAGGAGCAGCTGGTGGATTTGAACTCATGAATTTGTGGTCCACAGTCCAGTGCTGATCTGATAGTGCCACACCAGTATGATAAATGCCTGATACTGAAAATTAGCAAACAATTGAAATGAAACAACACCCCTGAAACACAGATAATGGTTTCCTAGCTGTCAATTTGATCGTCAAATCCATGTTCATCTACTTATACTCAATACCACTTGGTAAACATTAATCAGATCTTCTTCTAGTCTTACTTTTTTTTTATCAGTTGACTACTCAGTGGGATGTATGAGTTTATAATAGTGGGTTCTGTGTAATATGTTTTAAGTAAAAGTTTTAACTTTTCTGCACAATGCTATCACCCCTCAGCATCCTATCAAACACTCTGGGAGTTCAAGACTTGTAATGGAGAAACGCCCTTGACTTTGGCGGTCAAAGCTGGTCTGGTGGAAAACGTAAGAACTTTACTAGAAAAGGGTGTGCTAACCGACACCAAAAATGACAAAGGAGAGACACCCCTTTTGATTGGTAAATGACCTTTTTATCTGGAACTGTGATCTTTTGAGGCAATCATAAATATTTTATAACTATGTGTTAGAAGCCACTGTGTATTGGCTAGAATTATAAAACCTCTTCTCTTCCCAATTCCCAAGTCCCACATTGCCTGTCCTATGGTTTTGTTTTTCTATCATACACACAAAAAAGTCCAATGTGAAAAATAACTACATCCTTCAGTACCAAATTGTAGAGTACAACTAACCAGGTGGGAGCCAAATTAGTAATTTTATGAGGTCAGTGCCTTAGATGAACAAAAATGTCACTGCTTGTCCCTCCAGGACCCTTCTTCCCATCAGCCATCTGGGCCTGACCTTTATTTAGGGAACCATGGTGTATTGCAGCCAGACCACACAGGCATTGTCGGAGCAATCTGTGATGAACTGACACTTGTTGAGGGATTATTTTTTTCCCTGAAACTCCCTCTTCGCCCATCCCCTGAAGTTGGTGTCACCCTTCTCTAACTGGACAGCCCCAAGATTATCCTGGACAGTGGGCCCAGGCTAGGGATGAAGCCTAACTGTTTGATGTCACATGTCAGTTCTGTTGCCCTACATTACCCTCAATGACTTTGTACCATTTACAGCTCAGTTAATTTCACGTTAGACATTTTCTTTTTCATGAATCGATACACATTCTTATTCATCCTAGTTTCCTCTTTCAGTTTTCCAGTCCTTGTTGAGGAGCCATGGAAACATTGTTCTTCATTTGTATGTTTTATGAGTCAGGAAATAATCCAACCCACAGCTGGAAATAAGTACATTGCATAAGCAAAGCACATCCATCAAAAGAAGAAAATGACAACAACTTAAAATAAAAAAGAATGTATCATCCAACTCTAAAGTGTTCAAAAGAGCCTAGAATCTTTGTAAAAATTTCTAATTCCTTAAACTCTTAAGCTTAAGCATAGCTTTTGAGTATTGGGATTAAAGCTATTTTTTTAGCTTAAAGTGGTGTGTTTTTGAAATATATTTTATTTTTTAATACCTATGCCTTAGTTATATTGCATTAATATGGATGTTTTTGTTGTTAAGTGCCATTAAGTCCATTCAACCCATAGTGACTCTGTATAGGGTTTCTGAGGAGCAGCTGCTGAGCTTGAACTGTGGACCTTGCGATTTAAACCAACTTTGCAGTCTAGCGCATTAACCCACAGCCCCACACCAGGATCCCGTTACACAAATATTATGCTCCACTAATTTTCATTATTACAGCCATTTCTTTGTAAAGAATGTTTCTGTGGGTTAGCTTGGGAGGGGTTCTCTGCCATATACTTTATTATTTCTATGGTTTTCTTAGCATCCAAGATTAAATTGCAAGTATTTTAGATAGATTTAAAAACAAAAAATTAAGCTGAAGACAACTTGTTTATGTTGTTGTTTTCACTACGAAAGACAAATGTCTTGAATCAACATGTTCTCTGAGTCAGACACAAAAAGATGAGGGAAGTCATACTTACCTGATAGCTTTCTCCCTGTCTTTAACACTCCTGTGGATAATTCTGTGCACTTTTCTAACTAGAAACAATGCAGTAGGAACAAGAAGATAAATGAGGACACGTTCCTCCCTCTTAGTTTATTAACTTGCTTAATGTGAGCTCTGCACCAACAGGAGCTAGGATGAGGTCATTCCCTGTAATTACAGTTGCAGTGGCAGCTGGGTGATTCAGAGAAAGGCATTTGTCACTAGAATCGGCTTGAGACTGTCAGCAAGAGAACAACTGAGATCCCACTGCAGAGATGGCTTGCTTGCCTGCTTAGAGCAGCAATAGAGCAGGCAACTTTTCCTTCATCCTCCTAGCATGCTTTTTGGAGCCTTTTCCCTCACTTGGCCTATGCCTTTCAGTCAGCATTTGGCCTCCTGGCTGCCCTGAACCATAGAGGTAAAAAGAATAGTTGTTACCTATTACCTACGTTCGGCAATTAGGTTAATATCATCTACGGTATTCTTGTCGTGAGGCCTGCTGTTGACTGTTGTTTTTAAACAAATTTCCCAGCTGTGAAAAAGGGTTCCTATGACATGGTGTCTGTTCTGATTAAACACAACACCAGCCTTGACCAACCCTGTGTCAAACGATGGTCGGCAATGCATGAAGCAGCCAAGCAGGGTCGCAAGGACATCATTGCTCTGCTTCTAAAACATGGCGGAAATGTCCACCTGAGGGACGGATTTGGAGTCACACCCTTGGGTGTCGCTGCTGAGTACGGCCACTGTGATGTGTTGGAGCACCTAATCCACAAAGGTACTGCGCCTCTCTGCCTCTCTCCTCTCCATTTCCTCCTCACAGGCTCTTCTTCCACCCCTCATGTGAGTGGCCTCAGGCCTTCAACCCTGTCCCACACCTAATTAAACAGTACATACATCATGGCACCCAATTCAATGACCACTCTCTGGAAACAGCCAATTTTCACCAAGATGCCACACCAGGATCTCACACTCATTTTCTCCTCAATCCTCCTCTCTTCCCACTTCCTGTATAATAATTTCTCTCAGCCTAACCTTGAGTTTTTTCTAACTCCTCCATCACCCTTCAGTCTGTTAAGTCCCATCACCTGTCCCCACCTTTGCAATCCCGCTGTCATCTTGGCAGGTCCTCTTGCATCTTCTCTGGAGCAGTGCTTTGTGTCCTTGTCATCAGAGAATCCACACAATTCAGCTCATTGCACTAAGAGTTGTTGTTGTTAAGTACTGTTGAGTCAGTTCTTACTCATAGTGACCCTGTATAAGGTTTCCAAAGAGCAGTTGGTGGGTTTGAACTGCTAACCTTGTGATTCACAGTCCAGGGCTGATTCCACAATGCCACAGCAGAAGTCTGGCGTGACCTCTGTTCACATGACCACATGACCAGCATTTTCTCCCACCATCTGCCAGCAATAAAATGTACTTCACACGTTCAAACACTTTGAAATAGGTACCACCACTTTTAAGAGCCATACTGGGTACCTTAAGTGACCAATCATTGATGCTAAGGCACATGATGCTAAGTTTACATAGGGTCACTAAGGAACAGTTATAATAATGTTGAAAAACCTTCAGTGATGCCCCACTGACTCACGCACACACTCCCACCCATGATCGTAACGTGATTCTCCATGTTTATCCCCCATTGCCTCTCAGAGGCACCTCCAAAATAAAGGCCTAATGATCTGCTTCTGAAAAGTCAGCCACTGAAAACACTGTGGAGCAGAATTCTACTCTGGTAGACATGGGGTCACCATAAGGTGGAATCATGGTCTTGACATTCTCGTCCAGTTATCATTATGCTGTGTGTGTTGTGCTGCTAGGTGGTGACGTATTTGCTTTGGCGGATGATGGAGCGTCAGTGTTGTTTGAAGCAGCAGGAGGGGGCAATCCAGACTGTATTTCACTCCTGCTGGAATATGGAGGAAGTGGAAATGTACCTAATAGAGCAGGACACCTCCCTATACACCGAGCTGCCTATGAGGGTCACTATCTGTGAGTAGTAAATCATAGTCATTGTTTTAGGTTAAAAATGCAAGATTATATATATAGTCACAAGTCTCTCTATAATACCCTCCCAAATCCAAATAACTGACAAAATATTCACAATGGTTTATGTAGATATTTAAAACTCATCTGATTTTTTGCCTTCTTTTTATCTTCCTATATTTTATAAAATTCCCATGATGCATGTAACTACTTTTGTAATGAAAGGAGAGTCACTTTTAGAAAGAATTAACCTGTAAGTGAGAATTCTACAGAAGCCACCACCCTCCCTTCCTACCACTTCCCCCATCCCGAAGTGACTCTTAAATTTTTAACAAAAGACATAATAAATTTGCTTTTTGGCTAAGGATTATGACCATACTGTCAGCATTATTCCAATTTTCAGTAAAACCTTCAGACTACTAGAGTAAAATGTCAGCTATTCTTGAGTAGATGAGCTTCATTATAAGTGTGTTCTTCTTGTTGTTAAGTGCCATCGAGTCGGTTTCGACTCACAGCAACCCTGTATAGGGTTTCTGAGGAGCAGTTGGTGAACTTGAACCACCGACCTTGAGGTTCAAACTGACTTTGTAGTTCAGAGCACCACATCAGAACTCCTAAATTTGGAATTATAAGTTTAGATTTCTTTATTTCATAAAAAAATACCCATTTTTTTAAGTCACAAAATGTGCCAAAATAAACACATCAGAAGAAGCCTAGAATCATAATATGAAACTACCCAACATGATGATTCTAGGCAATAAAAAGAATTTCACATGTTCAAACACTTTGAAATAGGTGCTGACACTTCTGCTAGCCACATTGGGCACCTTATATGGCCAATAATTGGTGCTAAGTGACATGATGCTAAGTTTACTTGGATTTACTCCCAGTGTTCATAAATTCACACATGGTAGCTCTGAATTAGGCACAAGAGATCAAGTTGTCCTTGCTTGTGGCAATATATGACTATTGGTCAGTCAAGTGTGGAATTCACAACTATTTATCACATGTGCTTAGAAGCATAAACCATAGACAGTTATCTCAAGCAGTCTAATATACAGTTGTTATTGCTAAGTGCCATTCAGTTGGTTCCGACTCATAGCGACCCTGTATAGTGTTTCTGAGGAACAGCTGGTGGGTTTGCAGTCTGGGTTGTATCCTACAGTGCCACACCAGGACTCTGAATATAAGGTTGATGGAATAACAAAGACCCCTTTTGGTTAATACTTAAATTGCAAGTTATATGGAGGTAGACAAGATGTGCATGGCCAATATTAAAGGAGAGATTGCTCAGGAAGCAGTGAGAAAGGAATGGTGGTGTTGGTGTTGGTGTGCTGTGGAGTCGATTCCAATTCATATGACCCTGCATAGGGTTTCCGAGACTGTAAATCTTTACAGAAGCAGACCGTCTCATCTTTCTCCCACAGAGCTACTGGTAGATTCAAACTACAGACCTTTCAGTTAGCAGCCCAACTCATAATCACTATGTTCATGAATTAGAATTCAAAAGGCCTTAATTCTAATCACTGCTCCATATTGACATGACCTTGAGAAAGTCATGTTAACTCTATGGACTTCACATTGTTTTCCTATCACATGAAGGCTTGAACTAAAAGACAGCCAATGTCACTTCCAGCTCTCCCTTCCTATGACTCCATAATTATGGTGGTCAGGATTTTGAAGCATTCTCCTATAGCATCAGATAAGCTTACTTTAATTTGTGGGGACTTTTTGAAGTCCTTTTGTAATTTTTTTTATTATTAATGAGCATAAATTGCATATACATATTATATTGTTAGGGGAAGACTTCAAAGATGGCAAGGATTCCTGGGGAACCATAACACCCAACAAAACATATAAGATCCAGCATATCCCCCAGGGATTTTTTAGGAGGAGCTAAATCACAACTAAACTAAATTATTTAAACTAAACTCACTGGTAGTAGCTTGATGGACAAACGTTAAATGCATTAGTAGAAGATTATCTAGAAAATATAAACAAAACTGAACAAACTGTATTCACTTGCATCGTGAGGAAGATGGTTTATTTTAATCTCTTGATTTTTCTTAACACAATGTGGACATTTGACTTTTTATTTTTTAGTGCTCTGAAATATCTTATCCCAGTAACATCCAAACATGCAATCCAGAAAAGTGGGCTAAGTCCAATTCACTCAGCAGCAGATGGACAAAATATACAGTGCTTAGAACTGCTCATTGAAAATGGTTTTGATGTCAACACTCTGCTGGCTGACCACATTTCCGAGAGCTATGATGACGGAAGGAAGACAGCGCTCTATTTTGCCGTTTCTAATAACGATATCCGATGCTCTGAAGTCCTGCTGGCTGCAGGTGCTGATCCCAACCTGGATCCGCTCAACTCCCTTCTTGTGGCAGTGAGGGCCAGTAACCACGAAATCGTCCGGCTGCTTCTCTCCCATGCAGCCGATGTCAACTGCTACTTTATGCACGTGAACGACACTCGGTTCCCCAGTGCCATTCAGTATGCCCTAAATGACGAGGTAATGCTCAGGCTGTTGCTGAATAATGGCTACCAAGTGGAGTTGTGTTTTGACTGCATGCACGGGGACATCTTTGGGAACTCTTTCGTGTGGTCAGAGGTGGAGAAAGAGGTACTGCCCGGGTGGACGTCTTCTGTAATCAAAGATAATCCGGTGAGTCACATGCTTTTCTTCTTCATATTGGGTCATCATCCTCACTCTTATTGTCACTCATTTAGGGATCTCACAAGGAAAGGAAGATTCAACTCTAACTTTTGAATCTTTGTGTGCAATGATATGGGAATGTAAATGTAAAGATTGGCCAAAAAACAAAACAAAAGATGTTCTTTATTTTTCTTGAAATGAAATTTTGATATACTGTTGTTGTTGTTAAGTGCCATCAAGATGGTGTAGACTTATAACAACCCTGTGTAGAGCAGGACAAAACACTGTCCGATCCTGGGCCAACCTCACTATTGTTGCCACGCTTGAGTCCATTGATGCTGCCACTTGACCAATCCATCTCTCTGGAGGTCTTCCTCTTTTTCTCTGACCCTCCACCTAACCAAACATGATATCCATCTCCAGGGACTGGTCCCTCCTGACAATATGTCTGAACTATGAGAGACCAAGTTTGGCCATCTTGGCCTCCAAGGAGCACTCTGGCTGCACTTCTTCCAACACAGATCTGTTGGTTCTATGGGCAGCCTATGGCACTTTCAATATTCTCCTTCAACACCATAACTCAAAAGCATCAATTCTTCTATGGTCTTTCTTATTCACTGCCCATGCATATGAGGTTATTGAAAATACCATGGCTTGAGTCAGGCGCACCTTAGTCCTCAAGCTGACATCTTTGCTCTTCAACACTTTAAAAAGATCCTGTGCAACAGATTTGCCTAATGCAATACATCATCTGATTTCTTGACTGCTGCTTCCATGAGTGTTGATAGTTGATCCAAGAAGAATGAAGTCCTTGACAACTTCAATCTTTTCTCCGTTGATAAGAATGTTGTTTATTGGTCCAGTGGGGAGGATTTTTGTTTTCTTTACATTGAGATGTAATCCATACCAAAGGCTGTGCTCTTGGATCTTCATCAGTAAATACTTAAAGTCTTCTTCATTTCAGCAAGCAAGGTTGTACCATCTGCATATCGCAGGTTATTAATGAGTCTTCCTCTAATCCTGATGCCACATTTTTCTTCATATAACCCAGCTTCTTGGATTATTTGCTCAGCATACATGTTGAATAAGTATGGTGAAAGAATACAAACCTGACATACACCTTTCTTAATTTTAAACCACTCAGTGTTCCCATGTTCTGTTCAAACAACTGTCTCTTGGTCCATGTACAGATTCCTCATGAGCACAATTAAGTGTTCAGGAATACTCGTACTTCGCAATGTTGTCCATAGCTTGTCATGATCCACACAATCGAAAGCCTTTGCATAGTCAATAAAGCACAGGTAAACTTATTTCCGGTATTCTCTGCTTTCAGCCAAGATCCATCAGCAATTATATCCCTCATTCCATGTCCTCTTCTGAACCAGTTTGAACCTCTGGAAGTTCTCTGTCAATGTATGCTTACAGCCATTTCTGTAATACCTTTAGTAAAACTTTACTTGTATGGGATATCAAACATATTGTTAGATGATTTCCACATTCTGTTGGGTCACCTCTCTTTGGAATGGGCACAAAGATGGTTCTCTTCCAATCAGTCGGCCAGACAGTTGTCTTCCAAATTTCTTGGCAGAGAAGAGTGAGTACCTCCTGTGCTGCCTCACTTTCTTGAAAGATTTCAATTTTTATTCCATCAATTCCTGGATCCTTGTTCTTTGCCGATTCCTTCAATGCACCTTGGGCTTCTTCCTTCAGGATCATTGGCTCTTGATCATATGCTACCTCTTGAAACGGTTGAACATGAACCATTTCCTTTTGGTACAGTGACTGTGTATTCCTTCCATCTTCTTTTCTAATTTCTGCATCATTCAATAATGTGAAAATGTATGAAATGAATGGCTTCTGCTTACTTGGTGACAGACTGGAGTTAGATGGAAAGAAGTCTGATTCTTCTATGTTGTGTTGACTGAAATTGCATCTAAAACCCAAACCAAAGCCATTGCCATGGAGTCTATTGTGACTCATAGGGGACCCATAGACAGAGTAGAACTGCCCCAGAGGGTTTCCAAGACAAAGTCTTGAGGAAGCAGACTGCCACATCTTTCTCCAACAGAGCAGTGGGTGGGTTTGAACTGCTGACCTTTTCATTTGCATCCAACTGCGTTAACCACCATGCCACCAGAGTCTGATAGTTCACAGGAACAAACAAGCAATTTATTTTTCATTTTTGTTTCAGTATGGGGAGGGGTTTTATTTCCTGTAAAAGAAAGAATGAAAGAAAAAAAAAAGATGGCAATTTTTCATGACAAAATTGAGTATTGATGTATATGTTATACATATATGGTATATGGGAGTCCTAAACTAAATGCCACCCCTTCTCTCAGTTCTGTGAGTTTATTACAGTTCCTTGGATGAAGCACTTGGTAGGCACCGTTATCCGCATATTAATAGATTACATGGATTATGTCCCTCTGTGTGCCAAGTTGAAGTCTGCACTAGAAGTACAGAAAGAATGGCCAGAAATCCGTCAGATACTAGGTAAAAGTTTCCCTGAAAATTTTTATTGAAGTATGTGTATGGGGGAGCTTCTTACTGCCTTCTTTGATCTTATTTCAGTGTTAGTTGCCTCTGGTTTCAGAATATCCAGGTTTTTAAAAAATCATTCATAATATTTCCTCTGATGAGAGATACAAATTCTTCTTGATATTTTCCAACTCTTTAATTATATAATGAGTAAGAATATAACTATACGAACATTCTGACTTGAATTCATTTTCTTAGTTAATTTCTATACTATTGTACAGTAAGTATACTCTACCTGTTTTGTTTCTGTATTCTCAGGGCTAGCATGGTACTCAATACTAGTACTAGTAAATGCTCAATAAATCCTTACTGAACCGATGAATGAATGGAAGGAATTAGAATTGTCTTTTTGATATGCTCTCTTTCAAGGTTTTACTGGACAAATTCCTACCACCAAAGTTTTATGTTACAGGCAGATCATTTCGGTGTTGCAAGTTGAGTGTTCTTAATTATCATCATAAAAAGAGGTTCATAATTTAAAGTTTCAACAAAAATGCATCTTAATTATTCCCAAAAAATGCAAATTAGAGAAAAATCATAGGCTGAATATGTTTTCTGTTTCCAAATATAAGCTTGGAAAAATGAACTTTCAAAATCTACTTGGACATTAACGTCATGGAGGATAAAAAGGATTCATAGAATTTTCCATGACATTTAAATAATCTGGCACTCTTAATATATCTAAATAGGACGTAAATATAACATAAAACTGCATAACCATTGTTATGCAAATCTAATAAGGCCAAGAAGATGAAACTGAAATGTGAAGCTGACTTCAATGCCACATTTGTTCATTATAAAGATGTGGCGCTGTAGGGTCAGCACTGGACTACGAAATACAAGGTCAGCAGTTCAAACCCACCAGCCGTCCTCAGAAACCCTATACAGAGTCGCTATGAGTTGGCACTGACTTAATGGCACATATGTTTTCACCAAAACATTTTGTTTTAATCAAAGTTTTACACATTTAATGAATTGATCTGAATTCAGACTGTTTTGACTATGTATAGGCTAGTGCAGACTTTGATGGGCTAGAAAGTATGATCATTCATATATTTGCAGACGTGAAGCCTTGGATGCTTCTCCACTGGCTCTTCCTCTGGAATGATTTCTACAACAGGACTTTGTGAACACTGAAACACGAGCCTTACAAAATCCAATGAGCAATGTAATATTGTGAACCAAGGGACTGCGTGGTGGGTTCAGCTCGACCTAGGATGCAATGGAGTTCTGACCTTTCCTGGGAGGAAGAGTCCTGAATTGTATAATGCCTATGTCTTTCAGAGCTGATGGCATTCCAGAACCAATCATCTTGTGTTTTGTTTTTTTTACATTGGGAGGAGGAGTGGTTTTATTTCCTGGTGAATAGTCATGCCAGCTGTGTAACTTTAACAGTGGTCTCCTACTGCACATTATGGCATGTTGTTTTTGTTGTTAAGTGACATCAAGTTGTTTCTGACTCAACAACCCTGTATAGGGTTTCCAAGGAGCAGTGCGTGGGTTTGAACTACTAACCTTGTGGTTAGCAATCCAATGCTTATCCTACAGTACCACACCAGTATTCACACATTATGACTTTGTTGTTGTTAAGTGCCATTGAGTTGGCACAACAGAACAAAACACTGCCTGATCCTGGGCCAGCCTCACTACTATTGCCACGCTTGAGTCCATCGATGCTGTCCCCTGGCCAATCCATCTAGTTGTGGGTCTTCCTCTTTTTCTCTGACCCTCCACCCTACCAAACATGATATCCTTCTCCAGTGACTGGTCCCTTCTGACAATATGTCCAAAGTATGAGAGACGAAGTTTGGCCATCTTGGCCTCCAAGGAGCACTCTGGTTGCACTTCTTCCAAAACGGATCTATTGGTTCTTTTGGCAGCCCATGGCACTTTCAATATTCTCCTCCAACATCATAACTCAAAAGCATCAGTTCTTCTGCGGTCTTCCTTATTCACTGTCCAGCTTTCGCATGCATATGAGGCTATTGAAAATACCATGGCTTGGGTCAGGCGTACCTTAGTCCTCAAACTGATGTCTTTGCTATTCAACACTTTAAAAAGGTCTTGTGCAGCAGATTTGCCTAATGCAATATGTCGTTTGATTTCTTGACTGTTGCTTCCATGAGTATTGACAGTTGAGCCATAAAGAATGAAGTCCTTGACAAGTTCAATGGTTTCTCCACTGATAAAGATGCTGTTTGTTGGTCCAGTGGTGAAGATTTTTGTTTTCTTTACATTGAGTTGCAATCCATACTAAAGGCTGTGCTCTTTGATCTTCATCAGTAAATGTTTCAAGTCCTCTTCACTTTCAGCAAGCAAGATTGTATCATCTGCATATCACAGGTTGTTAACGAGTCTTCCTCCAATCCTGATGTCACGTTTTTCTTCATAGAACCCAGCTTCTCAGATTATTTCCTCAGCATGCAGGCTGAATAAGTATGGTGAAAAAATACAACTTTGTTGTACACATTTTTTAATTTTAAACCATTCAGTGCCCCCATGTTCTGTTTGAATAACTGCTTCTTGGTCCAGGTACAGATTCCTCATGAGCACACTAAAGTGTTCTGGAAAACTCATACTTCGCAATGTTGTCCATAGCTTGTCCTGATCCACCCAATCGAAAACCTTTGCATCACCTGTAAACTTGAAAAGCTGAAGTGGCCAGGCTCTCTTTCATGACTGAGAGCCAAACTGGGGGTCAAGCAGGACCAGGACCAGAGACAGTCCAGATAAAGGGGACGAGGGAGAGTAGAACCAGGATACCTCAGGGAGCAAGTCACCCTATTTTGAATCCTTGCAAGAAAACAACAGAATAGGGAGCTCTGACGTTAGAAGAGCTTTCCTGAGCCAAGCGTCCTTCTAAAAGTTCAAGGACACAAAGTTCACATTAGAATGGACAAGAGCAAAGTTGCCCAATGTTCAAACCTGCAGAGTATGCAAAGCACACAGAGTATACAATATCAAATCCTACACAAATGGAAGAGGAATGGTTTTATATTCATCAATAAAAAGAACATTTCAAGATCTGTCTTAAAATACAATGCTGTCTGTGATAGGATAATAATATCCATAAGCCTACAAGGAAGACTGGTTAACAATATTCAAATTTACAAACCAACCACTAAAGCCAGTGATGATGAAATGGAAGAATTCTACCAACTTCTTCAGTCTGAAATTGATCAAGTATGCAAAGATGTATTGATGATTACTGGTGATTGAAATGCAAAGATTGGAAACAAAGAAGAAGGACCAGCAGCTGGAAAACATGACCTTGGTGACAGAAACAATGCTGCAGATCACATGATAGAATTTTGCAAGACCAGTAAATTATTCATAGCAAATACCTTTTTTAAACAACATTAAAGATGACTGACTATACACATGTACCTCACCAGGTAGAATGCACAGAAATCAAAGTGACTGCATCTGTGGGAAGACACTATGGAAAAACTTCATATCATCAGAAAAAACAGGCCAAGGGCAAACTGTGGAACAGACCATCAATTGCTCATATGCAAGTTCAGGCTGAAGTCGAAGAAAATTAAAACAAGTCTATGCTGAAATTTGACCTTGAATATATTCCAACTGAACTTAGAGATCATCTGAAGAATACATTTGAGGCATTAGATACTAATGACCAAAGAGTAGTAGAGATGTAGGGTGACACCAAGAACATCACACAGGATGCATGAATCATGACAATCTATGGACAATATTGCGAAGAATGAATACTCCAGAACACCTAATTGTGCTCATGAGGAATCTGTACCTGGACCAAGAGGCAGTTGTTCAAAAAGAAGGGGACACTGAATGGTTTACAATCAGGAAAGGTGTGCACCAGGGTTGTATTCTTTCACCAAATTTATTCAACCTTTATGCTGAGCAAATCATCTGAGAAGCTGGACTAAATGAAGAATAGCATGGCTTCAGGATTGGACAAAGACTCATTAACAACCTGTGATATGCAGATGATACAACCTTGCTTGCTGAAAGCAAAGAGGACTTAAAATACTGATGAAGATCAAAGATCACAGCCTTTAGTAGGTTATACTTCAATGTAAAGGATACAAAAGTCCTCATAACTGAACCAATAAATAGCATCATGATAAATGGAGAAAAGAGTGAAGTTGCCAAAGGTTTCATTTTGCTTGGGTCCACTATCAACACTTACCAACACAGCAGTCAAGAAATCACATGATGTATTGCATTAGAGGTCTGCTGCACATGACCTGTTTAAAGAGTTCAAGAGCAAAGATGTCAGTTTAAGGAAGAAGGTGTGCCTAACCCAAGCCACTGTAATTTCACTAACCTCATATGAATGTGAAATAAGGAAGACCATAGTAGAATTGATGCATTTGAGTTATGGTGTTGGAGGAGAATATTAAAAGTACCATGGACTGCTAGAAAATGAAACAAATTTGTGTTGGAAGAAGTATAGCCAGAATGTTCCTTAGAAACCAGGATGATTAAACTTCATCTCTCTTACTTTGGACATATTATCAGAAGGGACCAATCCCTGGAGAAGTACATCTTGCTTGGTAGAGTAGAGGGTCAGCAAAAAATAGGAAGACCCCCAAACAAGATGGATTGGAGCTATGCAGCAGCAATGGGCTCAAGCTTAACAACAATATGAGGAGGGTGCAGCGCCCGGCAGTGTTTTGTTCTGTTGTGTATAAGATCACTGTGAGTTGGAACTGCTTGATGGCACCTAAAAACAACAACATACAGAGTTACTATTATAAAGAACAAAGAACAGAATAATATCCCTACAGACACTGAAACATACTAGAAGGGTGACCTCAGAACAGATTAAAATTGAAACCTATTTCAAAGCAAGCTAAAGCATAAGGAAGGTGATACAAGACATGAACACCCTCCACCCCACAAATTCCAAAACAACCCAGTGTCCTCAAATCGATTCCAACTCACAGAGAGACCCTATATCCAGGGTAAAACTGTCGCGTAGCATTTCCAAGGCTGCAATCTTTATGTACGAAGACTGGGCAGTCCAGAACCTGTGTCAGCCAGCCTCCACAGAGAAACTTCCTCTGCCAACAACTAAACAAAGATACATATTATTTAAAGAGTACAATTTATATGAACAAGGATTGAACTTGTCTGGGGAGCAGGTGTTAAGTTTGAGCCACTGTTAACCTTTTGGTTAACAGCTAAGTGCTTAACTTCTGCATTACTAGACTCTTACAAGACATGAAGATTAGAAAAGGCCGGTAATGAAGAAACAGATCTGAGAAAAGAACTAGAAATAAAAAGAAAAGATTAATTGAAAAATTGAAGGCTAGTCTACCATGACCAGACACAGAACTAATAATGCAATAGATACTGCCTTAAGAAAAGTAGATGAAAAGGAACAAAAATTTAAAACTGAAATCAAAATGAAGGGACAGATAAAAACATCTGAGAGAGAGTGAAAAATTTTTTGAAGTGAGACCATGAAGGGTAAACATATGAATGAATAACAGAATTTTGGAGACAGAAGACCACATCAAGGAAATAAAACAAAATTATTTTAAAGACTGTATTTTAAGAAAAATTTGTTGTAATATAGTAGATTTGAAACTACAAATTTCTGCCCACATACTTTGGGGAGAGAAGATTAGATTTGTATTAAACTTGTCTTCAACATGCTTTATTACTAAAAACAACAGAATAACATATTAGAGCACCCATGGCAAGAACATGTCAGCCAGGGATGGATACACAGCAAAATTGACGCTCAGTGATCAATTGTCTACATACAACAACTCAGACAATACATGACTGTCTCCTTTGTTGTTGTTGTTAAGTGTTGTCAAGCTGGTTCCTACTCGTAGCAACCATGTAGAGTGTCTCTGAGGAGCAGTTTGTTGGGTTTGAAGTACTGACCTTGCGATAGGCAATACAGTGGCACACCATGACTCTTACAAATAAGCGTTGTTGTTGTTGTTAGGTGCCATCGAGTCGGCACCGACCCATAGTGACCTTATGCACAGCAGAATGAAACACTGCCCGATCCTGGGCCAAACTCAATACTGTTGCCACACTTAAGTCCATCGATGCTGCCACTTGGCCAATCCATCTCATTGGGGGTCTTCCTCTTTTTCTCTGACCCTCCACCTTACCAAACATGACATCCTTCTGCAGTGACTGGTCCCTCCTGACAATATGTCCGAAGTAGGAGAGACGAAGTTTGGCCATCCTGGCCTCCAAGGAACACTCTGGCTGTACTTCATCCAAAACAGATCTGTTGGTTCTTTTGGCAGCCCATGGCACCTTCAATATTCTCCTCCAACACCATCACTCAATGACTAATGAGCTACAGCCTAAGGGCTTCCCGTCAGTGGCTGTAGAGACCATTCAGAGTCACGGTAACCCCGTGTATGTCAGAGTAGAGAAGTGCGCCATAGGCTTTTCAGTGTCTGCTTTCCAGCAGCAGATTGCCAGACCTGTCTTCCAAGGCACCACTTACAAACCACTCAGGGACTCCATTCCAGCCATTCATTGTTGTTACATGCCCTCACATCAGTTACGACCCATAGCAACCCTGTATAGGGTCTCCGAGGCTACACATCTCTGCCAGACCAGAAAAGTCTCATGTTTTTCCCATGGAGCAGCTGGTGGTTGGCAGTCCAGTGCAGGAGCACATCATTGTCGATACAGAGTGCAAATCAGTTGCTTGCTATGAGCATCACTAACCACTGGAGGGCAGCATCACTCCAGGTATCGATAAGGCAATGCCTTTGTGAAGCAGAAAATGAAGTGGCAATTATTTTATAAAATGGATTTATTCTGCCGATTTGGGTAATAAATCTGCTTCAATGATTTTTAGGAAACATTGTTTGAACAGACAGTAAATGTTGATAATTATAACAGAAATGTTGAAAATATAATGGAAATGTAGTCACTTTTATTATTGAATTGAGTGATTTTTACCATTTATTGAGCGGTTACAATATACAAAGAGCTTTAATAATATTTTGCATGAATGAATTAATCTTCAAACCATCCCATGAGGTTATCCACATTTCATAGAAGAGATTACTGAGTTCCCAGGGTTAGTAACTTGTCTAAGGACACACACAATTGGCAGAACCAAGATGTGAATCAAAGGTGACTTAGTTCCGAGCTCACAGTCTAAAACCATATACCATGCTGCCTTTTTATTCCTTCATGAAAAATAAAAACCAGCAAAACAAAACAGACACAGTTAGCATCAAATTAATTCCAACTGGTGCCAGCGCATGTGTGTGTTAGAGTGGAGCACTGTGCTTCATAGGGCTTCCAATGGCTGGCCTTTTGGAAGTAGATTGTAAGGTCTTTTAGAGTCACCTCTGGGTGAACTTGAGTTGGCAACCTTTTGATTATTAGCAGATCCTACCACTCAGGGTTGCCATAGAGTTGATTCCAACCCATAGCGACCCTGTATAGGGTTTCCAAGGAGCAGCTGGTGAGCTTGAACCACTGACGTTGCCATCAAACGACTTTGCAGTCTGATGCATTAGCCCACAGAGCCACAACAGGACTCATGGAAGCAGCAGACAAGAAATCAAACGACGTATTGCATTAAGCAAATCTGTTGCACAAGACCTTTTTAAAGTGTTGCAGAGCAAAGATGTCAGCTTGAGAACTAAGGTGTGCTTGACCCAAGCCATGGTGTTTTCAATAACCTCATATGTATATGAAAGCCACACAGTGAATAAGGAAGACCATAGAAGAACTGATGCTTTTGTATTATGGTGTTGGAGGAGAATATTGAAAGTGCCATGGGCTGCCAAAAGAACCAATAGATCTGTTTTGGAAGAAGTGCAGCCAGAGGCCAAGGTGGCTAAACTTCATCTCTCATACTTTGGACATATTGTCAGGAGGGACCAGTTGCTGGAGAGGACTATCATGTTTGGTAAGGTGGAGGGTCAAAGAAAAAGAGGAAGACCCCCAACAAGATGGATTGGCCAGGTGGTAGCATCAATGGGCTCAAGTGTGGCAACAGTAGTGAGGTTGGCCCAGGATCGGGCAGTGTTTCGTTCTGCTGTGCATACGGTTGCTATGGGTCGGTTCCAACTCGATGGCACCTAACAACAACAACAACCAGTCAGGGGCTCTTTCATATTGCAGGTGTACTGTATTGGTTGCAGGTGTACTGTATTGGTATTCTAGCGTAACATAGATAACAAAGTAAGAATTGAAAATAAAGACTAAAGTCAGATATTTGAGAAATGTTAGTAGTTTTGGGGGGAGAAATGTAAAATGTTTGTGCATCAAACACTGGAATTAAACTTAAGATTGTATCATTTGCATCTGACATTTTCTGAACAATCATTCACCAGAAATATGGGTAGAAGAGAGAGTAAGGAAAGAAATATATCTCTATAGCACTCTAAAAAGTAAATAGCAGGAGATGTGAGCATTTACTTTCTTACATCAAGTCCATTCATTCATCATTCATCAAATTCTAGTTGATTATCAACCATGAACTGAACTCTCTTCTTGGTACAGATGGACTAACTCTGGGTCCTCGAGGAGCTTACATTCTTGGGGAGTGGCCTAGAATGCTTCATTATCATGTGAATTTCACTAAGAGTCACCAGTTCCTAAAAGTGTGCATACATTTTTTCAGAATATTACTCTAAAGCAGTCTGTATCTAACAGGTCAATCCACTAATACTGGTTTTCCCATTCATTCTAGAGAATCCTTGTTCACTAAAGCATTTGTGTCGGTTAAAAATTCGAAGACTAATGGGTCTCCAGCGCCTCTGCCAGCCAGTCTCCATGGAAAAACTTCCTCTGCCAACAACTATACAAAGATACATATTATTTAAAGAATATGATCTGTATGGACAAGGACTGAAGTTGCCATAACTTAAAAATAACGTTTTATAATGTGATTTTTTTTCTTATTATAACTTATGCCCTCAGGGATGTCTTTGGAATTGTCTGATATCCTTAAGTATATAGAGATCCACTGACAATTATATGGGTGGATTGTGTGTTCTAAGGGAACACCAACTTTTATATCTTAAGAGGACTTTAAATTGTGATAATTTTTTTAAGATAGCCAGTGAATTTCTAATGATTATCTTCACCCGCTTTAAGTCTTCAAACCTTCCCTATCAAATGGCTCCTACCTATAAACATTATCCATAATAAGTCTCTACTATATTTTTTAAAAGGAGCTCTGGTAGCGTAGTGGTTACGAATCGGGCTGCTAACCTCAAGCGCGGCAGTTCGAAACTACCAGCGGTTCCGCGGGAGAAAGATGAGGCGTTCTGCTCCCGTAAAGATTTACAGTCTCGGAAACCCTGTGCAAGGTCACTATGAGTCGGAACCGACTCCACGGTACTTAACAACAACAATATATTTTTTTAAAACAAAAAAGCAAACAATCAGTTTCACAAGCTTGCATCTTCTGTTGCTGGTCTGTTTGTCTCTGCTCCTGAATCACCGCACTAAGCAAAAAAGCGCCTCCTGCCTGCAGGCTCACACACTGCTCCCTCCCCTTCTCTGCCCAGGGTCCTAACGTCCTCCTTGTTAAATGCAGTGAACACTCTTCAGTCCTCATTCCATTGATTCTGACAGCATCCCACATTGTTGCCTGCTCCCTCCTGGAAACTGTCTCTTCTTGGGTTTTCTGGACTCCTCGTCCCTGGACGCTCTGGCTCTGGCTCCTTACCATGCTGCTCATTTCCTGCCAGTTCTTTAACGCAGGGCTTCCCAATAATATGTCTAAAGTCACTCTCTCTTTTTATACTATGTTCACTGGGAAATTCCCAGGATTTTGATGAGAGGTTCTGTGCTCGTGACTACAAAATTTATATCTGAAATTCAAGCCTTGGTCATGCTGCTTCAGCCCCATGGACAGCTCAGATTCAATATATCCAATATGAACTCACCATCTTCCTTCACCAACCAGTTCCTTAACTCACATTCTCTAAACTCAGTAGTTAATCCAGTTTCCCAAAGCAAAAGTCAGGGCATCAGTTTGGTTCCTACTCTCGCGATCTTCCATACACAGTATACACCAAATCCTCCTCTAAGTGTTTCTCTTGACACTCTATCTGCTTCCATTCAGTTTCACAGATTCTCTCCTAATGGGAGAATACAGAAGTGTATTCTCTGAGTCGTGATTCCCAGACTTCTAGGTTTTAAATATCTGCAGTTCCTGTTAAGTTTTAAAATATGACATTCTCTATTTTAAAGTGCCATCTATTATCACAGCTATTTGCTAATAAGGAGTCATTTTGTTTGCTATTAAGTGTCTTCGAGTCGGTTCTAACTTACAGCAACCCTGCATAAGGTTTGCAAGAAGCAACTGGTGAATTTGAACCACTGGCCTTGTGGTTCAAGTCGACCTTGCGGCCCAGCACATTATCCCATAGCGCCACACAGGAGTCATTTTAATGCCAGATAATGAAGATGACCATGAACTTGTTCACTAAAATGGAATGACTTTTGCTTTGAAAAGGCTGACCACACTGTGCTCATTTTCCCATGGATGAAGAACATTTCTTTCTGACTCACAAGTATCTAAGACTTCTCTTTGGGAACCACTGCTATAGACTAAACTCTGCACTCCTCTACCTCAGGCCCTTGGATTCCTTTCTCCCTCTGCCCACAACTCTGCTTTCACCTCCACCTGCCCAATTCCATCTTACCCTGTAGGACTTGCCTTACATGTCACCTCCTGTAGGAAAGGAAGCCTCCTGACAGTACTCTTGAGCTGTATGATGTTCCCACCTGGCTTCCCCACTAGACTGTAAGCTCTGTGAGGACAGGGTCTATGTCTCTTCTATTTCTAAGTGTTTCTCCAGAGCCAAACACATTCCCCAGAGTACAGAAAGAGTTTAAAAATGACCTGTGAATGCTATATGAGACCCCTACAAAAATGTTAGTGATCTCATGGTAAAATCCCCGGTTTTAAATCTCCGATTTGGTTATGAGGTTATAATGATGTCATTATTTTAGATTTTTTCCCTTAGATTTTAATTATGTGTTATTTGTATAATTATTTTTAATCTTAAGACTACTCATTCTTTCCATAGTAATACCTTACTGGTTTGTGAATTTTTCAAATAGTAGATTTTTTCTTTTAAAGATATATAAGCATGAAAAAAACCCAAAACTGTATAATTGAGACTATGATTTTAGCCTCTAGTATTCCCTAGAGGATACTTTTTATATACATTGTAATGTATGAGGGGACTTCCAAAAGTTCATGTAAAAATTAAATTGAAAGATAATGGAATTTCTTCAACGGACTCTTTGAGGCCCCCTTGTTTTCAAGGTGAACTGTAATCTTTTGTGTATAATACTTCATGATGTATCTGTTTCTTTCCTACTTGTGTTAAAATACATTGTTCCCTAAAAATATTGCTACAAATAAATGAATGATAATGGTGATGTAAATCTGATATATAATAGTCCAGATATCAAATAAATTGTAGTACACTAAAGTTTTGACATTTCCCTTAATGTATTTTTGTGCAACTATTCTCAAGACACTACTGATAATAAATAAACTCTAGTACGTTGAAGAATTTGACATTGTCTTTACTGTGTTTTTGTATCAAAAGATACTTGGATACTAACATGAGAATTAAATGCACATGCTATAGATATTCAAAGTCATTCCTTTAATATTTATGAACCAGGAGGAAAATAAAATGTGTCCTCTGAAACGGATTAAATTATAGTATTCAGAACAGATTTGATCTTTCTCACTGTATTTGGGCTTTTAAACTGTGGTGTGTTTTTGTTTTTTGTTGTTGTTATTGTTGTTGTTGCTGTTAAGTGCCATTGAGTTGGTTCCCACTTAGAGTGACTCTGTATAGAGTTTTCAAGGAGCTTGTAGCTAGCAGTCCACTGCTATAAGTACTTAGCAGTTAACTAACCCCAGCACACAAAGCCCTGCCAAGCTTTCTCCTTTTGCTTAGGAGGGAGCTGACCATCAGTGGCTGACAAGGGCAGAAAGGGCTTCCTGGGTGAGAAGGTGCATAGGAGGAATAGACTTGCTGGCTCTCTGTGAGCTGTGTTGTGCAACCTCAAGGAGTGCTGGAAGTGTCTGGGGATTTGCTGTTTTCGGAAGGAGACAGTCTAGTAATTTGAATTGGGGCACTGGGAGTGCCTGAGTCCTAATGCTGGATTGGCCAGTGGCCCCAGAAGAGGCACTTATCGGGTGCTTGCATCCTGTGCTGCAGATTCCAGTAAACTGGGAACAGCCATTTCTCTTGCCCTGGAAGTCTTCCATTCTAGGCTTTCCCAGTGAGATTGATGGTAAAACCTCTTGGAAGCTGCCCATAGTCCTGGATTAGGTTGAAGGCATAGAGAGTGCTAAATGAGATACTACCTCTGGGCGGCCAGGTGTGAGATACCACTATCTGTTTGAAGTGAAGTCCCCACCAACTTCTCAAAGAAGCTTTTTTACTTTCATGCTTTGTAGAAGCCAAATAACATGCATGACATGCTGTGGTCAATAGTTTGCATATCCCTAAAGATTTATTTATTGTAATTATTTTAATATTTTAATGAAACCACAATTTTAATTGCCTTTGACTAAGGAATCCTGATATGGCATTGCGGGTTAATGTGCTGAACTGAAAGGTTGGTTTGAACCTCAAGGTAGCAGTTCAAACCCACCAGACGCTCCTGGGAAACGCAGGGCCACAACTCAACAGTACTTACCACCACCACCACCAATAGATACTAAGATCTCCTTAGGCTTTGACTCATTGGAAGTGCCTCGGTTTGGATCCAATCCTATAAATGGGGACCTGCACGTCACCATGAGGTCTAATTGAGTCTGTATAATGAAGGGTGCCGGGACGAAATCTGCACTCGAATGACACTGAGTTCAACTTCTGAGAGTGCTGCTCAGGTCTCTGAAGACCCTTTTTTCAGCAGGAAACAAAGCCTTTTGTTCTACAACCAAAAATAGGTTTAAAATCTTTCTAGATAATGTACTTTGTGAAGGGAAACAGTAAGAACCCCAAGTCCACAGAAGAAAAAGGGTAAATACTCCTTGCAGAGGATTAATCACTAGTTCTCTAAATCTGGAGAGAATCTTAAGAAACATCTGGAACATTTGAATAGGTTCTGGAAAGATGATTCCCAATGCTGTGCTTCTCGCTTGTCCTGTGTGGTGCCCTTTACAAAGCAGCCCCCACACTTCTTCTCACCCAGTTCTTGAACCTGTAGGCAGGGGTTAATTACCTGTCTCCCCCTCGAAAACCCTATACAGGGCAGCTAGGAGTCAGAACCAACTCAAGGGCACTTCACAACAACAATCCAGTAGTAAGGAGATCAATCTTACAATTAACTCACTTAGTAAATGGTATAGTTGGGACTCAAACTCAGATTCCCGATTTCAAATACCAAGTTTTTCCCACCCCATCATTTTTAGTTTGTTGTTGTTACTGCTGCTGTTGTGACGTACTGTTGAGTCGGTTCCGACTCATAGCAACCCTGTGTAGGGTTTCTGATGAGCAACTGGTGAGCTTGAACCACCGACCTTGCAGTCCAGCGCATGAACTTGCAGCACCACACCAAAAGTCCATTTGTCAAGACTTAGTGGGTGTTGTTCATAAAAGCCAAAAAGGGTAAACATCCCAAATGTCCATCAAACTGTTGAAGAGATTAACAATCTCTGGCCCATCCATACAATGAGGTAATATTTGGTCAACACGCTGTAACATGGAAGAATGTCAAAAACTATTGAGTGAAAAGAAGGCAGACACAAGAGACCAGATAGTGTACGATTCTATGTATGTACAATGTCCCCAAACAGCAAACTCTCTAGAGAGAAAACAGATAGGTGTTTGCCTGGGGTATGAACAGGAGAGGACTTCAAATGGTCACAAGCGATC